TTTTAAAACTCCACAAAGAAAACTTGTGGTCTAGTTGGCTTGACAGGTGAATTTTACTGAACATTTAAGGAAGAAATAATACCAACTCTAGACAAAGTCTTTGAAAAAACTGAAAAAGATATTTTCTATTTAAGTCTATAAGCTGAAATTATTTGATACCAAAACAAAAGGTATTAGAAGTAATGGGAGGGCCCAGAATTGTGACGTAGCAGGTCCAAGTAGTTTCATTCAGAAAGGCAAGGTGTATTTAACATTTGGAAACTGACCAAGGTAATTCACCCTATTAACAAAATGAAAACATCTGATCATTCAATAAATGAAGAAAAAATCATTTGAAAAAAATCCAACACCTATTTTGACAAAAATTCTCAATAAACTAGAAACAGAAAGGAAAATCTTCATAAGATGTTCTGAAAAACCTATAGCCAGCATCATGCTTAATTTTGAAAGACAGATGCTATCTCCTACAAACAAAAAAAAGACAAGAATGTCTCTCCTCATCACTTCTGTTCAACACTGTAATAGAAACTCTACCTAGTGTAATATGGCAAGGAAAAGAAACAAAAGCTATCCAAATTGGAAAAGAAGGGGAATACTATTTTTAGATAACCAGATCATCTATGCAGAATATCTGATGGACTCTACCCAAAAAATCCTATTAAAACTAGAAAAATTAGTTTGGTAAAATTTCAGGGAACAATATGTAAATGTGTGTGTGTGTGTGTGTGTGTGTTCCTGTACACTTACAATGAAAAACTTGAAGTCAAAAGTAAAAAAAAAAAAAAATTTAAAGCAGTCTGAAAAATTTTGAAACAGAAATAAATCTGATGTGTAAAACATATATTAAAAGTATAAAATATTATTGAAAGAAATTAAAGAGAGATGTTAATATGGAGGTATGGTTTTTCACTGGCCAGAATACTCAATATCATTAGGATATGAATTCTACACAAATTGATCAATACACTCAATAATGTGTGTATCAAAATTCCAGCATCATTTTTTGTAGAAATTCATAAGCTGATCCTTAAACTCTTGTATAACCACAAAGGACTGAAGATAGCCACATAACTATGAAAAAGAAAACATTTAAAAGGCTAACACTGTTGGATTTTAAGACTTATCATACATAAGCAATAACAGTAAGATAGTGAGGCATTGCTGTCCAGATAAGACCAACAGATCAGGAGAAGAGAGTTCAGAAATGGATTCAAATATATTGTCAACTAAATGTTAACAAAAGAACAAAGGTAACCCAACAGAAAAAGAATATTTTCAAATGGGCATTTATATGCAAAAAAGTGAACTTGATCCCTTACCTCAGACCTTATCCAAAATTTAACTCTATGAATCTTGGACAGACACATAAAACCTAAAACTATAAAACTTCTATGAGAAGACACGGAACATCTTTGCAGCCTTAGGTTAGGCTTTGATTTCTCAGACACCAAATGAATAATCATAAAAGAACAAACTGATGAACTGGACTTCATGAAAATTAAAAATTTCTCTTCTGTGAAAGATATTTTTAAGAAAATGAAAAGAGAAAAAGATCAGTCCATCAGTATTATTATAAGCCTCTTCATATAAATGAATTCTGAAGGGATAGTGCTGTGATGCAGCAGGTTGAGCCACCATTTTTAATGGTGCTTTGAGTACCAGCTGATCCAGCTTCCTGCTGCTGTGTCTAGGAAAGCAACATATGAAGGCCCAAGTACTTGGGTTCCTGCCACCCACGTGGGAGAACTGGATGGAATTCCTGGCTCCATGGGCATTTGCGGAATGAACTAGCACATGGAAGACCTCTCTCTGTCCCTCCACCTTTCAAATAAATAAATCTCTTTTTTTAAAAAATAAATCTTTGTTCCCTAGATTGATATACAAGTCCTTTTTTAAACAAGTCCCTAAGAACTATGAGATCATCCTTGGAAATGTGTTACCTCTGACATGATGCCAAGCACTTCTCTACTTTGCTATACAACTCCTTGTTTTGGTGTGTATGCCTCTCTCCCTTTGTGACATCACATCAAGTTCCATCTGTGAGAACTTGAAGTGAACTCAATTCTTGAGAATGTTACCTCAAACCTTATTGGATCCACAACACATGAATTACTGACCTCAACTACAGGAATTCAAAATACATATAAACTCAGGACCAGCACTGTGGCGTAGCAGGCTAAGTCCCCACCAGCAGCACCAGCATCACATATGGGCACGGTTTGTGTCCCAGTTGCTCCTCTTCAGATCCAGCTCCCTGTTAATGCTCCTGGGAAAGCACTGGAAGACGGCCCAAGTGCTTGGGCCCCTGCACCCACATGGGAGACCTGGAAGAACCTCCTGGCTCTTGGCTTCAGACTGGCCCAGCTCTAGCCATTGTGGACTTTTAGGGGAGTGAACCAGGGGATGGAAGATCTTTTGTGTCTCTCCTTCTCTGTAACTTTACCTCTCAAATATATAAATAAAATCTCTTTAAAAAATGCATATAAACTCAAGACCTTGACTGCCACTTTGAGAGCTCAGGCCACAGCAGAGTCACACTCTGTCAGCTGCTTCTCCAAAAACTGAGAATATTTTCGGTTGACATGTCAACCCCTTCTCCACATACCAAAGTCTCAGTCTGCAACAGGCCTTGCAACCTCTGAAGCCTCAACCTCCAACACCGACCCTGGCCTCTAGCATTAAGGAACCCCAAGCACTGCAGTGGAATCTCCATTGTGGGGGTCAAGTCAGCTTTTCCTGACAACCACTGGTATAAAGGTATTCATCAAAGTTTAATTAGACGTTTAACTTCTCAGAGAAACCCATTTCTATCCTAACTGAGCAACTGGACTTTAATTATTTTGGGACACAATCACTATGTGGCTCATATACCTGATCCATGGAGTATATTCCTTGTGAAGTTTGTTTACAGTATTCCTTTGGCCCCTTAAAAATCGTGAACCTACAAAACTCTTTGCATGGCAATAAAAGTGAGATTAGTAAAATCATACTTGATTATCTCCTTATTTCCACCATATGCAACAAGGAAGAACAGGGCACTGCAAAAGCACCAGAAGTTTACTAGGACCTGGTTCACTGTGCAGGTGCTTGCAGTTCAGATGTTTAGAGCTGAAACAGTAACTATTAGAGCATACTGGCATGTAAGGCCAAGTTAAAAGAAAAAGGAGAAGGTCCAAGGCACCCAACATTCAATCTCTTTTCTTCATGCAAATCCTACCATTCCATGCTCCAGTTTCCTGAATAAACACAGTTATTTCAAGCCTTTGAATCTTTGCTTCCTCTGCTCCTTCTGCTTGAGATTTCCTTCTTCAACTCCACTAACTACTACTCACTTGTCAAGATATAAGTAAGTATGCGTCAACTGTCTTATTTGGTTCACTGGTATTTGGACCTCAATTTTATCTGAGAATTCTGACTGTTCATTCTAAAATTCCAAGTTTCTGACTGTCACAGATATTCTGCTCACCCTAGCCGAACTCCTCACCACTGAATTAATGGCCCACCCCTCTCAGATGGTGGCCAATTAGCTGTACTTATGAGATGGGGATAGTGCCACTTCAAACCTAAGAAACAATGCTAATATAAAGTGTCATTAAAATGCCATCAATTATTTTATGCTAAGTGCTTTATCTGCATCATCTCATTTAAACCTCACTCTTTGAGGGTGAATGTGTTTTTATACTAACTACACAAATGAAAAAAAAAAAAAAGAAAGAAAGAAAAAAGCGAGGTACAAAGAAGCTAAGAAACTTGCCCAAGATCAAAGACCTGGGAAGAGGAAGAACTAGGCTAGGACTGAGTTCTTGACCACTGATCTGTAATGCTTCCAGAGTGGAACTTACCATCTCTTTTCTACTCTCTTTTTTGCTCAAGCCAAAAATCTGAATTACCTTCTATCTTCATCTCTCAAATTCCTTGATCTCCAAACTCTCTTGTGCTCTCCTTATTTCACTTCTCACTTGGCAATGACAGTGGTCAACTAACTACTCTTCTATAAGGTATACTCTTCTTACAGCCAGACCAAGCCTTTCAAATTTGATCGTGTCACTCTCAACTGAATTTCTTCCAGTGGTTCCTATAATCTGTGCACTGAGCCAAACTTGTTAGCATGCACAACACTAAACCCTTCACCATCTACCACCACTCTACCCCTCTCAGCTCACCTATTTCCCTGTATGAACCTCCATATTCCATTCCAGCCAACCTTGTTCTAAGTCTTTAACAAAGCAGATTCCCAATCCTCTCAATGTTGCAAATACTGTTTTAGTTGGGATGCTCACAGTTTTTTATGGAGGAAATTGATACTGGTAGTTCAAATGTAAGTCCAAAGGGCATTTTCCTTGATCACAGCTTAGCAAAAATCCTATAAATTAATATTTGTTTACTAAAATGCATCAAATACTATTCTAAACCCTTTACATATTTTATTGCTCATTTAATCATTCTGACAACTGAGGAAACTGAGGCAAGAGTTAGCAGTTGCTGCCACTTCATTCCAATTTATTAAATTTACATATTTACCTTCCCAAATCAAATTCTTGGAGGGTGAAAACGTCCTCCTTATCACTGCAGGGTTATGATTGTACGGTGCCTGGCATATACTAGAAATAAGCTCAGTAACATATTTTGAACAAACAGCCCGAGCTGTGCCTTTCGGTTCTGTTCTAACTGCAGACTTGGAAACTCTTCCTGGCCATCAGCCCTGTAATGTCTTCAGAGCACGAGAGGAGCATAACAAACATGTTTAGTGTCTAGAATGTCCTATGTAAGCTTCAGGACCCACAAGGATTTATCAAACGGTTCCGTTTAAGGATACACATATCGGTGTGCATGCACCAAGATTTTTTCCGCAGCTAACTTTAAGCTTTTACAAATTTCCATGAACCCAACAAGGCATTTCAAAAAAACATGCGCTGTCAACAAGAACACTAAACATTGTGCACTACGATTTTTCAAAAAAAAAAAAAAAATATATATATATATAGGAATATGGAGCTTACTTTGGTCTCTCAGAAAGTCAATTTCCGTGGCCATTTCGACAGTTTTAATTTGGAGCTTTCACTACCTTTAGCTTCTGAAAAACACGGAGCTCGCTATGCGGGAAAACAAAACTAAGCAAGGATCCGGAGGCTGTCAGGCGGTGTAATCAGCATCCCATTCACGCGGCGCCCGCAGCCCTGACGCTCTGCCTTCTCCCGACTCCCAGACCAGTCCCTCTCCCTGGCCAGAGATTTCCGATTCCAGGGTTGATAAGGACGCGCCAAGTGAATTCTGTTCCACGTTCAACCGAATCCCACCGGGTGGGACAGGGACGCGGGGCGACAGGCGTCCCGTAGGTTCCTAGAGGTCTTGTCCTGCAACCTAGGAGTGCACCAAGGGAGCCGGCGGGCAGCCTGGAGGCGGCATCCTTCACGGAGCGAGGGGGCGACGCCAAGATGGTAGGGAAGCCCCGGGCCAGCAGCGGAAGTCCACTCGGCCCGCCCTGCGACTTTGAAACCGGTGCCCCGGACCGCTCCTTGGAGACGGTGACGCCGCCTGCGTCATCACGCGAGCGTCCGCCTTACGTCATCGCGCTCCTGAGAAATCTAGCAGGCTATTGGCTAGCTGTCGAGCGATGGGCGGAACCTTGAGAAATTGGATGACAGCAGGCTGAGCCACCGACTTGGCGCCGCGGGCAGCGGCGGGCAAGTGTCTAACAGGTGGTGGGGCCCAGTGTTTGTTTTCTCTTTCTTTTGTAGAAAACTAAAAATTGTAACGTGAGTAGAGCATTAAATGGTTTCAGTATCTTTGGGTTATTAATATGCTGTGCACATTCTTGACAGGGGTCTCTGGGGTGGAAAAGTCGTAGGTTCCCGCGGCTGGGGGCGGAACCGAGGCTGCGGTCCTCAGAGTCCCTCGCCAAGCGGCGTCTGTGGAGAATTTCTGTATATGGATATGTTTATCTCCAGAAGCTAAGTACTGGCTTGGCCCTCGGGGCTCTCTAACGAAAGGAGGCAGCTACTGTTTAAATATTTAGCTGTGTGGTAGCAAGGGATGTGGTTGGAAGTCCTCCAAAGATCTGCCAATTCCGCAGTTTTTTCTTCACATTGGTTCCTCGAATAGAGAAAAATTACACTTTTTGCAGGAGAGAAGTAGGTAAAATTTACATTCCTGAAGAGATTACAATTTCCTTTTTTAAAACATTGGTTTTGTCTGAGTTTAAATCTCACTTTTTTTTTTAAAGAAAAAGATTTATTTATTTAGAAGAGTTTCTGAGAGGGAGAAATGACAGGGGGGAGGAGAGAGAGTGAGAGAATCTTCCATCAGCTGGTTCACTCCCCAGATGGCCACAACAGCTGCAGCTGGGCAAGTCTCCCACTTGGGTGCAGGGGCCCAAGGACTTGGGCCATCTTCTACTGCTTCCCAGGTCATAGCAGAGAGCTGTACCCAAAGCAGAGCAGCAGGGACCAGGAACCAGATTCCCTATGTGATGCCTGTGCCACCAGGGATGACAGTGGGCCCAAAATTTCACTTTTTAAAAGTCAATTAACATTGGAGGAAATCTCAATACTAGCAATAAAAATATTAATTTGAAGCAAATCACTAGTTTTCTTGTTTTTAAATAGGTTGTATTGTGATGGATTGAAGAAAAGTTTTGCCAAGCAGACGTGTCATAAATACACCTGAATATAGCTTTGGCTTTCTCTTTAACAGTTTAAGAAATTTTATTGTCCTAAACTCATAATGTTCTCTAAACAGAATAATGACACACATTTAAAAATGTGTCAGTGTTTTCAGCTGGTTATTTGAAGGCCTATTATGGACCTTAGAGCATGTTCACTGTTAATAGAATGAGATGTTCCTTTCCTTTCAAAACTAGAGGTAAAATACAGATATGTAGTAAGTAAATATGAAGAGATTTAATTTAGTTTTTTTATTTATTTATTTTTAATTTTTTGACAGGCAGAGTGGACAGTGTGAGAGAGAGACAGAGAGAAAGGTCTTCCTTTTGCCGTTGGTTCACCCTCCAATGGCCGACGTGGCCGGCGCACTGCGCTGATCCGATGGCAGGAGCCAGGAGCCAGGTGCTTCTCCTGGTCTCCCATGGGGTGCAGGGCCCAAGCACCTGGGCCATCCTCCACTGCACTCCCTGGCCACAGCAGAGAGCTGGCCTGGAAGAGGGGCAACCGGGATAGAATCCGGCGCCCCGACCGGGACTAGAACCTGGTGTGCTGGCGCCGCAATAATTTAGTTTTGACTTGCTGGAGATATTGTTCTTGTTTTTAGTGACCATGAAGTTAGCACAAAAATTTGTTGGAAGGAAAATTGTGCAAACTCCAACTTCTTTTTTGAAATTCGGTGTATGACTTTCTTCCAGAATTTCTTATGGGCACTCCAAGGACCTGCTTGTACTTCCCCTACATTTGCACCTTTTATGTGGTCATATTGTGGTTTAACATGGCATCAAACAAATTGTTCTAACTTTATGTTTGTACTCAAAGTTGATAAGCTAATATTGGTGTGGAAGAAAGCAAGGACTACATTCTGGATATACATGATGCATAAATATCTGAAGTGGGCATTTTTAGGTTGCACTTGAGTTATTTGGCTTTTATGGTAATGGTCAGGGTCAATAAATCCACAATCTTGTGTGTGTGTGTGTGTGTGTGTGTGTGTTGTGTGTTTTTACATGACTTTACTGGTTGACTTTTCACAGAGTACTTTCCAAATAATTGTCTTCATTAGGAAATAAAATTGTGATGATTCTACTTATCCTTAAAGTATCTCCTCTAGTGTTTCTCCTTTTAAAATCTTCCACTGTCTTCTCAACTTCCCTCAAAGTAGGTACTACCTGAGTGCTACTCCATGATTCTTCCTGCAGTCTCTCTCATGTTGTTTGTAGTTTGTCTCCACACTCCATTATACTGCCTGGAACACAATAAGGATTCAGCACACATCCGATGAAAGAATTAAAGAATTCAGTGAATGTGAGTGGAAAATATCAATATAAATTGAGTGAAAGAAGTGAGAAAGAAAAGTACTTAATAAGTACTTAATTTTTAACCATTCTCAATCCACTAACTCATGGCTTTTTTTTTTGTTTTTGCTGGTTTTCTGCAATAAAGAAAACCCTTGATGAAAGTTAGAGACAAATCTAAAACTGAGCTATTCAACCGATTGACATTGAGAACCCAGTACTATGTGCAGAATATCATGAGCATTATAAATCTGGAAGTTTAAGCAAAGGTCAAAACTGATTACATAGTCGGGAAATTGTCTCAGTTGGGATTTGAACGCAGGCAGTATGGTTCCATGTCAAAAATCATTGCCAGGGGCTGGCACTGTGGCGTAGAGGGTAAAGCCGCCGCCTGTAGTGCTGGCATCCCATTTGGGCGCCAGTTTGAGTCTGGGCTGCTCCTCTTCTGATCCAGCTCTCCGCTATGGCCTGGGAAAGCAGTAGAAGATGGCCCAAGTCCTTGGGCCCCTTAATCCCCGTGGGAGACCTCAAGGAAGCTCCTGGCTTTGGATCAGTGCAGCTCTGGCTGTTGTGGCCAATTGGAAAGTGAACCAACAGATAGAAGACCTGTCTCTCTCTCTCTCTCTCTCTCTCTCTCTCTCTCTCTCTCTCTGCATCTCCTTCACTCTCTATGTAACTCTGACTTTGAAATAAATAAATAGAGCTTTAAAAAAAAAATCACTGCCAGTTATGTATATGCCTCCCAGTAGCATAATTTGAAGTTAGTGTAATAGAATTGATAGTTTTTGCTTATACAGCCAGTTAGCAATTAATTCACTAAATAAATTATTACTATATGTGCTCTATTGTGATCTTAATGATTTACAGTTTTTTTTTTTCCAATTTGTTTCACAGTATTTGTATTTCTGAGTTATTTTCCTTCTTCCAGCAAACCGCTCAAAACTTAGCGGCATGATTAAAAGTCTTCAGGTGTTGGTCTGTGACCCTTCAACATTTTTTTTCCCCAGGAAAACCAGACGTCTCTGTGTAAACTCTTCAAATCCCTCCCGGAGCACGCGCACGCGCACGCGCACGCGCACGCGCACGCGCACGCGCACGTTGGCAGCTGGGCGGAGCCCTCGCCAGTGTTCTGGGAGCTCCGTGGAAAGGAGGGAGCTGGTGACGGGACTGAAAGAGCTTCCTGGTCTGTGTTTTCTCCTTATGCCCCCTTTGCTCTGGCACTGCTTGTGCCGTGCCCAGTCTGCTTGTTAGGCTTTTTCCCTGAAAAAGTACTGCAGAGTTTTACTCGTCAGCCGCCTCCTGCTGGCAAGGCTTACTCCCGTTCGCACCCTGACTTCCTCATTTCTCTTTAAAGGAGCGGGACGCGGGGGAGGGGGGCAGACTGGAAAGAAAGAATTGTTGTAGAAAAACTAAACTTTTTCCCATAAGAGGAATTTAGAACTCCCGGTCAGTTGTTTTGTCGAGGAAACACCTTTCTATAACTTCCTTTTGAACTTTAGGGATTTTTTTTTTCTTACATTAGACTTTGCTTCCAGGTTAGGCTCCTTTCTCCTCATTTCCATAGCTAAAGTAAAGCACTGAAAATACTTGAAAAAAATTTTGATAAAGAGTAATTTGAAGAATATAGGTGTTTAAAAAAAAAACAGACTAATAATAAATACTTTCTATAAAAAGACTAAACGGGGACAGTGTATACCATCACTTGCTATGCTGGCGTTCCGTATTGGAGTGAGGTTCAAATCCTGGAAACTTGGCTTCTGATAGAGAGAGCTCCCTGCTAATGTTCCTGGGAAAGCAGCTGATGTCTCAAGTGCCTGGGCCCCTGCCGCCCACTGGGGAGACCCAAGTGGAGTTCTTCACTCCTGGCTTTGTTCAGACATTTGAAGAATAACCCAAAGGATGGATGATCCCCCCTCTCTGTTTCCTTCTCCCTTTCTGCCATTCAAGAAAATAAAAGTAAATCTTAAAAAAAAAAAAACTAGCCAACCTTAAGGTTGCATTATAGGATGGTGATCAACTTGATAATGCTCATTCTGCTTTTTTGGAAATGGTCAGCATGTATGTGTACTTTAAAAGATTGAAGAGAGAGTTCACCGTAGTCTGTAAGAGCTCCAGCCTTAAATTGGGCTTTAAAGAATATTTTCAAATTAATCATTTATTTTTAATAGTAATGAATATCTATCATAATATAAAGTTTAAATACATTTTTAAAAAGTGATAGAATTAAAAACAAGCCTTCCTTCCACCCTCCCAGATCTCAGACTGATAATTCTCTCCAGAGGAGCAATTATTGCTACTGCTGATGTCTTCCACTGCTCCCTTGATAGAGGCATCACAAGCCTATATGCAAATAAGCTTCCTTCTTATTAAATAAATGGCTACTTCTTGTACCTCAGTTTTTTACTTCATAATATATTGTATATATACATATAGAGCTGCCTCATTAGTTTTAATTTTTTAAAGATTTATTTATTTGTTTGAAAGAATTAGAGAGAGAGGGAGAGAGAAGGAGAGGCAGAGATATTCCACCCACTGCTTTATTCCACAGCTGGCCACAATGTCAAAGCCAGGAGCTTCTTCCAGGTCTCCCATGTGGATGGCAGGGTCCAAACATTTGGTTCCCATCTTCTGCTTTTCCTGGGCCTCTAGCAGGTAAATGGATTGGAAGTGGGTCAGCTGGGACATGAACCCATGCCCATATGGGATGCTGGCACTGCAGGAAGCAGTGATATGTGACAATGCCAGTCCTTGCCTCATTCTCTAATAGCTATGCAGTATTTGATGGTGTGAAATAACCTAATTTCTTTAGTATTCCTGTACCACGGGGCATTTAAGTTGCTCTATGTTATGTTGTTCTAAATCTTGCCACCACAAGCATCATTATACTTATGTCATTCTGAGTATGAGCAGGTATAACTCTTTGAACTAAAATTAATGAGCCAAGGAATACTTGCATTTTATTTTGATAGATATTGAAATATTGCTCTGCAAAGAGGCTGTAGCAATTATATTGACACAATAGTAATATATGATTTTTTTCAACCTCATTAGTACAACATGTTATCAAGTTTCTGATACTCTATAATCTAAGTGAAAAATAGTCATTTATTGTTTAGTTGGCATTTCTTTTCTTTATTTGGTCTGCACCAGACCAAAGTCAGGAGACTGGAACTCAATCTGAGTCTCCTATGGGGTTGCAAGACCCAAATGCTTGAACCATCACCCTCTGCCTCCCAGAGTGCATATTAGCAAGAAGCTGGACTTGCAAGCCAAGTGTTACTCCAACCCAATAAGGGGTGTGAATGTTCCAAGCAGTATCTTAACTCTTAAGGCAAATGCCTGCCTTTAGTTTGCATTTTTGTTATTTTAAGTGAGGTGGAACAGTTTGTATTCTCTTTCTGTGAACTGGCTGTACTTATCTTTCGAACACTTTTTTCATTGCAGTTTAGATGTTTTCTTTTTTGATTTCTAGGAGCTGTTTTTTAAAAATTAGCTACTTTTCTGAAATATGAATTACACATACTTTTTCCTTGATTTTCTTTTGATTTTATTAATGGTGGCTTATTTGGTGGTATGGGATGGGGAGAGGTAAAGTGAGGCTTCTGCTTTTAATTTTGTTATTTTTATGAAGTTAATGTTTGGGTTATATTTTGCAAGATTTTCTCTACTGTAAGATCTTTTTTTAAAATGATTTTTTTCTTGCTTTTCATATGATTTTGTGTTTAAATCTGATTTATTTAAAACATAGATTGATAAAGGGATTCCACTGTATTAAACTGGATTGCAAAAAGAATCAGTTGATAATCAAAGTGGTGCTGATTGATTAGGAACATGAGACTCATCCCAACTGTTCATAGCGATTTTACATATTATTTCCCCAGCACCTGGTATGATACCTGAATAAATTGAAAGAACATTTCTGGGTATGTTGTATCAATTTTGCTATTAGCCATTGTATTGATTTATAGTGTTAAAATGGATAACGATGTCATTAACACAGTTGGTTTCTGCTCTACAAAAGTTTATAATAAAATTTTACATGGAAAAACTAGAATATTTGATTTGCTGAACAAATAAATAGTGAGCTCCTATTACTTCCAGGCATTCTAACTGGGGGTTGAGGAGACAGTGAATAATTTTCTTCTATGATGTAAGTGCTCTAAATCAAGGTGTAGTGTACAGGAAATAGTGACAGGGAGGGGGAGCACTAGCTCAGGAGGTGAAGGGCATTGACAATTAAATTCTCACCACTTAAGAAGCACACATGCAAACAAAGAAATTGAAAGGCAGTGGGGTTAAGTGGCAGGAAGCAACTGAAAGAGCTGAGGAAAGATGTCTGAGTGCATGTTTTCTTTAGGCTTGATGGTTAACTAGTGGGCAGGACTATACTTTTTTGATTAATATTTTAAAAGGTTTTATGCATACTTAAGTATTGACATGACTGATCTTTAAGCAATATAAAGTTTTTTAAAAAAACAAAAACAAAAACCAACCAGGGGCCAGAGCTATGGCATAGTAGTCTAAGCCTCCGCCTGTGGCGCCAGCATCCCGTGTGTGCACTGGTTGATGTTTAGCTGCTCTTCTTCTTATGCAGCTCTCTGCTTGTGGCCTAGGAAAGCAGTGGAAGATGGCCCAAGTGCTTGGGCCCTGCACCCACGTGGGAGACCCCGGAGGAAGCTCCTGGCTCCTGGCTTCAGATCAGCCCAGCTCTAGCCTTTGCAGCCATTTAGGGAGTTAACCAGTGGATAGAAGACCTTTCTCTCTGTCTTTCCCTCTCTAACTCTGCCTCTCAAATAATTAAATAAAATCTTTTAAAAAGATCCCAAATTTGTTATTCCAGTAAGAAACTAAAATCATTTTATACAATTAAAACCAAAGTTATATTCTGCCCTTAGATATATGCGCCATAGTACTACTCCCTACTTGTGGAGATCCAGTCATCCCCATATCTTTTGGGTGTGATTTTCAAATAATACTCAAAGAAACCCTGCGGGGAAAGGCAGAAAAAAAAATCAACAGAAAGGCCTAGAGTATACAACCAACTACTCATTCTTAATAGGAGTGGCTCTACTTTTATCTTTCCTTCTACCTTCCAAATAAGATTACATTTTGAAGTGATTTGAAACCTATGTTGTACCTCCTTCTGACTCTGAGACCTGCCATATACACATGGAAATGGCAGACCACTTTTAGGAGAATATCACTGGATACTTACAAAAAACATTTATTTATTTATTTGAAAGTCAGAATTACAGAGAAAGAGATATAGAAAGAGAAATCTTCCATCTGCTGGTTCATTCCCCAGTTGGCTGCAATGGCCAGGGCTGGACCAGGCTGCAGCTAGGAGCTTCTTCCAGGTCTCCCACATGGGTAGCAGGGGCCCAAACACTTGGGCCATCTTCTGCTGCTTTTCCCAGGCCATTGGCAGGGAGTGAGATCAGAAGTGGAGCAGCCAGGACAGGAACTGGTGACCAGGTAGTGGCTTTACCTGCTTTGCCACAATACCAGCCCCCACTGGATACTTTTTAAGACAGTTTTTCTTTCTTTTAAAAAAGTTTTATTTATTTTTTAATAAGTTAAAATGCAGATTAACAGGAAAGAAAGAGATTCATCTGCTCGTTCACTCCTCCACTGCCCATAACAGCTGGAACTGAGCCAGACTGAAGCCGTGAACCAAGAATTCTATACAGATTTCAGGAGTGGGTGGAAGAGACCCAACTACTTGAGCCATCACCTGCTGGCTCGCAAGGTGTACATTAATAGGAAGCTGCATAGGAAGTGGAGGCAAGGCTCAAACCCAGGCACTCCAGTATTGGATGCTGGTTTCCCAAGTGGTGGCTTCACAGCTGCAGCTCTGGAGAGCTCTCATCTGTGAATCTGTTCCCCAAATCCCCACAGCAACTCTCTGTCTCTCCCTTCTTCTCTGTTACTATGCCTTTCAAATAAATCCATAAATAACTGAATCCTAAACAAATATTGTGTTCTAGATAAGGTATAATTGGAGGAATCCACCATTCTCAAAATGAAGTTTCATCTCCTTGAAGATTCTTGAAATGTCTTCCTCAAGGAAAAATGGCTAACATGGATTTATTTTCTAGTATGCTGGTTATGTGACCTTGGACAAGTCTGTTTCTTCATTTATAAGCAGAGTAATAATAGTTTCTTTTTAAGTTTGTAGTGAAATCAGATATTGTTTATAAAATACCCAATCCATGAGTTGAGCCAAATATTTATTAATACAATACCATCTTTCCATTGAAAACTTAATTAAAAAACAGGTACTTGTTTCATTCAAAGGTTAAATGATAGCAGATTCAACTCCCATTTTTCAATATAGAGAAGTTATTAACCAAAGGAGTACGGATTTAGCAGTCAAAATGTAGAAAATTGAAAAGAGAAAGAAGGTATGCAAAGGAACAAAAGAATGCAAAATTGAACTTCACTAACCTTTAGATAGTTAAAGTCTGTTCCCCAGAAAAGATTTTCGGCAAAAAACAATAGGTGTTAGAAGCACTGCATCTACTAATTTATGAAGTTTTTTTCAAGAATCAAGTTAAATTTTATTATAAACACCTTGATTCCCAGAGAATGTGGTTCAGACACCTGCAAGTAAAGACAAAAGAATGATGCATAAACTCATGGTCTTGTAGTTGAACTTAAGCCTGTGAACAATTCCTACAGTGGCCTTAATTCTAGTTTTTAAAAGTGATTTCATGTACTCTTTTTTTTAATTCTTTTTTTTTTTTTTGACAGAGTAGACAGTGAGAGAGAGACAGAGAGAAAGGTCTTCCTTTTGCCATTGGTTCACCCTCCAATGGCTGCCATGGCTGGCGCGCTGTGGCTGGCGAACCGCGCCAATCCGAAGGCAGGAGGCAGGTGCTTCTCCTGGTCTCCCATGGGGTGCAGGGCCCAAGCACTTGGGCCATCCTCCACTGCCTTCCCGGGCCACAGCAGAGAGCTGGCCTGGAAGAGGGGCAACTGGGACAGAATCCAGTGCCCCAACCGGGACTAGAACCTGGTGTGCTGGTGCCCCTAGGTGGAGGATTAGCCTATTGAGCCGCGGCGCCGGCCTTCATGTACTCTTTATGAGAGAAATACAGCTGGATCTGAACCTGAAATTTTTAATCTTAGAGGGTTCGCTACCTATTTTAGAACAGAACCCTGAGTCCATGATTTGCAACAACATAGGTGGCCATTTGACTCCCAGGACCAGGTTCTTGCCACTTTGCTGCCGTCTTGTCTGCTATTCAGCTTTGAAAATTTTATGTCTAACTAAAGGAAGCATTTGTCTATTGTTTAAAAGTTGGTTTTAACATTTTTTTTTCCTTTAGAGTCTTCAGATGGATTTTAAAATTGAACACATGTGGGATGGTTTTCCAGTGAGGCACGAGCCAGTTTTTGTCAGACTGAATCCAGGCGAGGGAGGAGTAATGATGAAAGTTAGTGCTCCATTTTTCAATGATCCTCCGGCCCCTCCAGGAGAACCGGGGAAGGCTTTCAATGAACTGTGGAATTATGAAGGTAAGTGGAAGAACTGTATTTTATTGAAAACATAAGTCTTATAATAATCTCTCATAGAACTATTATTTTATCTTGCTGTTAGGAAGTGCCTCCACATAACTAGTGTGTGCAGTTTCTGATATTCCAACCAATCTCTCATCTTGATTTTTTCTCCTTTACCTATGTGACCTCAACTATATAACTAGAACAGTGAAAATGGCAATTACAAATCCAGATTTTTTATTACTGCCATATTTCCAACTTCCTTAACTTCTATTTCTTATTCTAAGAGTTCAGCATTTCTGTTTTGTCTTTAAGTAGCTTCAAATTGTCACTTTAAACATTTAAACCATATTTATAGAAGCTTTGGGGTATTTTACTTATTGTAAAATCACCATCAACTTTAATATGAAATGCAATTTTTACATTATTTTCTCAAATAATCTCACATATCAAATTAGATAATACCATAAAACTAAAAGACATACTATGAAGTTGATACTCTTTTACTGCATCCTAATTAAGCTGCCAGATTCATCGTTCTGACTTTTCGGGAGGCCATTCCCAGATCACAAACCAGGATAGAGTTCAAACCTTTGCTAAAAGCTTTCCATATAATCATGAATTGGGCCACTATATTCAACCACAAACTTTTTGTTTAAGATTTGTTTATTTGAAAGGCAGAGTAACAGGGTGACAGAAGGAGAGACTAAGAAAGAGAAATCTTCCGTTTGTAGGTTCAATCCCTAAATGTCCGCAACAGCCATCTTCCACTGCCTTTTTAAGTCCATTAGAGGGAAGCTGGATCAGAAGTGGAGTAACCAGGGCTTGAACCAAAAGTCTTATTTGGGATGCTGGTGTCAACAATGGTGGCTTAACACACTGTGCCACAATACTGGCCCCCTTAATCAAAAGCTCTAGACTTCTGAAAGGTTAATGATCTTACACTGCCTGCATATTCTTATCAATGCACTTCCCATTCTCCCTGACTCAAATGCATATAAAGTCTAATTCACATTCTATTTCTTCAAAGAAGCCTTTGCTAAATCATCTAGTCAATACTGACATTTACTTTCTCTATACCATTTGCACAGCACACACTTTGTCAGTGTGATTTTGTCAAATATTAAGCTTATTTTTTGTTATTGATATAGAAACTTGTATATACTAACTTCCTAGTGTTATACACACCAATGTAACTTACCTACTGGAAATACTACAGACAGCAAACTCAACAAATCCTAAACTGAACTCATCTGCTTCTGGCATGAATATTTCTTTTCTAGTTACCCAGTCTCAACCAATGGCACTCATACTATACCAAATCACCAATCTGAAGGTTATGAGATCTCTGCAGGATATTCTTCTTTCTCTCTGTCTCTGAATTTAGATTTATTTACTCAGATCTATTAGTTTCACGTGCTAAATGTTTCTTTAATTCACTGTCTCCTGTTTATCCCCTCAATCCTTGCCATAGGTAATACCTAGGTTAGGGCAGAACCTTCTAAATAGTATATTTTTGTTTAAATATGTCCTTGATTTAGAAGCCAGAACTTTCTGTCTAAAAGAAATTTAAACTCATAATTCAGCTACTTAAAAACTCCTCATGCTCCATATTCTTTCATGAAAAGTAAAACCTTTTTCTGGTTTTTAGATAACTCTGTTTTGGTTTTAGTGAACTCTATTCAAGAATTTTCGTGGCCTGGCCCCCGTTCTCTCCTGTGGTATCACCCGTTCTTCCTACATTGAAAGGTTTGCTGAGTGAAAACCAAACTGCTTGTGGTTCATCAGATTAGGCACAGTATTTCTTAACTGTGTGCCTTTGATTGTGCTGTTCTCTCACCCCATAATGCCATTTCCATCATTTTCGTTTCTCATCTGGTTCCATCTTTCTTTAAAGATGAAGCCTGGAATCCTTCCCTAAACTGCTTTTATTGAGCTAAATGTCTGTGTTCTGTATCGCACTGCAATTCACACATCTGTCCCCCTCCCCCATTTTGAGATTTTTATTACAACGGTTCACTTTAGTGCCTGCTTTGATTGTGAGGTAATTAACATACTCCTAGAATCTGATGCAGTGTTTAATAAAGAGAAGCTGCAAAATGTTTGTAAAATAATAACGGAAAATAGAAGGTGTGCGCTCGTGTGTGTGTGTGTGTGTGTTTACAAACAGAGAGAGAGAGAGAAAGGGAGATTGAGAGATTGATAAGGAATTGGCTCACATGGTTATAGAGGCTGGCAAGTCCAAATTCTGCAAAGGAAGGCTGGCAGACTGGAGATCTAGGGAAGAGTTGAGTTTCAGTTCAGATCTGAAAACTGCTGGCAGAGCTCACCTTCTGAAGGTCAATCTTTTTTCTTTTAAATGGTTGAATTATATTCACCCACACTATGGAGAGTAATCTGCTTTACTAAAAATCTACTGTTTTAAATATTCATCTCATGTAAAAAAAATGCCTTCACAGAAACATCTAGAATTATGTTACCAAATAAAACTGGTATCTTTTTATATTTATATTTAGATTTATCTATCTATCTAGATATACATAGGTAATAAAATAAATAAAATAAAAAAGATACAATCTATTCATTAAAAGGAATATGGTATTTACATGCCAGAAAGTTTCTTTAGTGGAAAAAATTAAATTGTAGGCAAATATGGTACCATGTTAATGTTTTTTCAATCTAAGCAAGTAAAATAGTATGTAGAAGCATAGAACAGTCTATAAATTTTAGATCAAAAAGAAAACAGTGACTTTTTACTTACTATGCATTTGTGTTGTTTTAATTATTCCCAAGAAAGATGTGTTACTTTAATAATTAAACGATTTTTAAAAAATAGCACATGCTTAGAAAATTCCAGAAAATTATAAAAAAGGAAGGTCACCTCCCTGTATTCCACCATCACAAATAACCAGTCTTAACACTTTCGGGTGTCATTTGAAGACATCTAGTCACACAGGCACAGTCTAATTTCATGTTCATTTCATTGCTGCTTTGCTGCCCACTCATGAAATATCATGGATATTTTCTCATGTCACAGATATGTAACCATATCTTTGATGGCTTTATTTATTTAATGCCTTTATTTTATTCCACAATCTATTTAAGAGCTCTCCTCTATAATAGAGTTCTGTATAAAATAAGAGATAATCCGGCCGGCACCGGGGCTCACTAGGCTAATCCTCCGCCTTGTGGCGCCGGCACACCAGGTTCTAGTCCCGGTCGGGGCGCCGGATTCTGTCCCGGTTGTCCCTCTTCCAGGCCAGCTCTCTGCTGTGGCCAGGGAGTGCAGTGGAGGATGGCCCAAGTGCTTGGGCCCTGCACCCCATGAGAGACCAGGATAAGTACCTGGCTCCTGCCATTGGATTAGCGCGGTGGGCTGGCTGCAGCGCGCCGGCCGCGGTGGCCATTGGAGGGTGAACCAATGGCAAAAGGAAGACCTTTCTCTCTGTCTCTCTCTCTCACTGTCCACTCTGCCTGTCAAAAAAAAACAAATTTAAAAAAAAGAGATAATCCTATATAATACAAAATACTCATATAATTTCCAATTTTTGAAAACTATTTTGATGAATAGCACTATTCTTGCTTCTTTTCCAATTTGTCTGATTATTTCCTTTAGGATAAATTCCTAGAATATAATAATTGGTTCAAAGTCTGTGTGATAATATTGATTTCTAACATAATCAGTACTAAGTTTTATTGATCTGTTTAATTTATAGCAGTCTATCATGGGAGAAAACCAATGATAATTTACTTCTTATGTACTTTTTCTTTGAGGAAATGTCTATTATTTTTGCCCCTTTTTCTCCTGGGAATAATAATACAGCTTAAAATGATTAGTTAGTTCATGTTATTTTCAAATAAATAAACCAATTATTTATTATTGAAGCAAAATTTAATTTCTCAATATGTTATATCTCTGTATTCAAAAGTTGTGGAAGCATTTTTCTTGAATGATGTAAGTCAGCAGTATCTAGAAGTTGAACTTTGTCCGTAAGTATTAAGTATTTTTTCTTAATCACTAATACATGATTTGAACACATTATTTTCTAGTTACAATTGTATGGTTAAAGTAAAAGCTCATTAATTCCAGATAATTAGAGAGATTGCTAATCTGAATTATATGCTTTTATATAATTTCTTACTTTCAAATACAATGTGTGTTTAGAATATGCATTCTCAGCATTTGAAAATATCATGTTGATGTTATTTTCAATTAATTAATGTAGTTATTTTCCAAATAAATATAAAAATTATTTTTGTGAAGTAAAAAATCAACATAGAACAAAATTCTTTTCCTAATTATTTACTCTATAATTGTGTATTGTTATATATTAACTGTTTCATAAATAAAGGGAGATACTGATATAATGAATTGAAATATTTAATGAAAATATTTCTCTTAGGGGATTTTTAACTCATTAGACAAAACTTTAATTTTTGTGTATGACATAAGTACATATTTGTGTATTCTTTCTTTTATTCATCATTCATTTATTGATTATATTCTATATCATTTTTGCATTCAATTCCAGAAATAAAAACTAAATCATACGTGAATTGTCCCAGATTTATTAAAAATACTAACATTGGATCTCTTTATTCAAAATTAACTATATCCTTGGGCACCCTCTTTATGTTGTTTGAAACCATTTTTTTCTTGTAGATGTGAAAAAGTAAACTTAATACCCATCTGTCATCTAAATTATAGCCAAATTTAAATTGATATTTAATAAACAGCATGTTTTTTATATTGCCATAATTCATTTTTTAGACTTATCTTTTAAATCTTTTTTCCCATAAACTCTTTTTTTTCTTTTTAATTTGAGAGGGATGAAGAGAGAGAAAGAGAGAGAGAGAGAGAGAGTGAGCCCTTATCTACTGGTTCATTTCCAGAGTGCCCTCATCAAACCCTGGCTGGGACTGAAGCTTGGAGCCAGGAATTTATTCCAGATCTACATTTGATCTTAGCCAAAAGGCCAAGAGGTGATAGGAATTCATTCCAGATCTCTCATGTGGGTGGCAGAACTCAGTCACGTGAGTCATTACCATTGCCTCATAGGGTTTGTATTAGCAGTGATCTGGAGTCAAGAGCTGGAGGCAAGATATTTACCCAGGTACTTCAATGTAGGATGAAGTCTTAACTATCCTATTAACCTCTGGGATAAACACTTGCCCCACCGTATTCATTATAAATGCCATTAGTATGCCTTTTGGTATCAATATCCAGTACTTGTTTCTTTTTTCTTTTTTTTTTTAATCTTTTATTTAATGAATATAAATTTCCAAAGTACGACTCATGGGTTACAATGGCTTCCCCCCCCATACCGTCCCTCCCACCCACAACCCTCCCCTTTCCCACTCCCTCTCCCCTTCCATTCACATCAAGATTCATTTTTGATTATCTTAATATACAGAAGATCAGCTTAGTATACCTTAAGTAAGGATTTCAACAGTTTGCTCCCACACAGAAACATAAAGTGAAAAATAATAGATGATTTTTTTTAAATGATGATGAAATCAGATCAGACCTATTGTCATGTTTAATCCCAGTGAGAGTCAAGTTGGGAATTGATAATTTCTTTCTTTTTTTTTTTTTTTACAGAAGATCAGTTTAGTGTACATTAAGTAAAGATTTCAATCGTTTGCACCCCCATAGAAACACAAAGTGAAATATACTGTTTGAGTACTCGTTATAGCATTAAGCCTCAGTGTACAGCACATTAAGGACAGAGATCCTACATGAGGAGTAAGTGCACAGTGACTCCTGTTGTTGACTTTACAAATTAACACTCCTGTTTATGGCATCAGTAATCTCCCTATGCACCAGTCATGAGTTTCCAAGGCTATGGAAGCCCCTTGAGTTCTCCGACTCTTATCTTGTTTAGACACGGTCATAGTCAAAGTGGAGGTTCTCTCCTCCCTTCAGAGAAAGGCACCTCCCTCTTTGAAGACCTGTTCTTTCCACTGGGATCTCACTCACAGAGATCTTTTTGCCAGAGTGTCTTGGCTTTCCATGCCTGAAATACTCTCATGGGCTTTTCAGCCAGATCCGAGTGCCTTTAGGGCTGATTCTGAGGCCAGAGTGCTATTTAGGACATCCGCCATTCTATGAGTCTGCTGAGTATCTCACTTCCCATGTTGGATCACTCTCCCCTTTATTTATTCTATCGGTTAGTGTTAGCAGGTACTAGACTTGTTTATGTGCTCCCTTTGACTCTTAGTCCTTTCATTATGATCAATTGTGAACTGAAATTGATCACTTGGAATAGTGAGATGGCATTGGCACATGCCACCTTGATGGGAAGAGATGTATAATTTGGGGCATGCTCGGGCTGACTTGCCCCAATTGGTAGAGTTGGAAACATACCAGGGGATTCCAATCCAGTACTTGTTTCTTAATAGTCTAGCCAGAGAGCTTCAAACAATTGAGCTAAGTGAGACTTTAGATATCCTTTTATTTTCCATTATTTTGAAATTTTTTTCAAACTCTAATATGAAAATCTAGCTGTAGCACTTATTTGTTTATTTTAATTTATCTGAAAGGTATATACAGAAGGAAACAGAGAGAGACAGATCTCTCACCCATTGGTTCACTCCCCAAATGAGCACAACAGTCGAGATTGGGACAGACTTAAGCCAGGAACCTAAACCCAGTGTGGGTCTCTGACATGGGTTGAGAGACCCAGTGATTTCACTCATCAACTGCTGCTGTCCCAAGAGGTATGCATTAGAAGGAAGCTGGAATCAGGAGTGGAGCCAGGACTTGAACCAAAGCACTCAGATATGGTATGTGGACATCCCAGGCGGTGTCTTAACCACTGTACCGAATGCCTACCCCAGCATTTATTTTTTAAGGATAATAATTACAAATATTTATGTACATCAGCTTTCAACTAACATGCCATAATCTTTTCTTGAAAAACATGAGGGCTGGCATTCTGACGTAGAGGGTTAAGCTGCCACCTGTGATGCCAGCATCCCATATGAGTGTCAGTTTGAGTCCCAGCTGCTCCACTTCCAATGCAACTTTCTGCTAATGTGCCTGGGAAAGCAGTGAAAGATGGCAAGTGTTTGGGCCCCTGCACCCATGTGGGACACCCAGGAGAAGCTCCTGGCTCCTGGCTTTGGCCTGGCTCAGCCCTAGCCATTGAAGCCATTTTGGGGAGTGAACAAGCTGATGGAAGGTCTCTCTTTCTTTTTCTTTCTCTCTCTAACTCTGCCTTGCAAATAAATGAAAAATAAATCTTTAATAAAAATGAAAAATGTAATAAATTCTCACAGACTCTCATGAAAATTAAGATAATTTCAACTGGTTTGCAATTATTTTGATCCTACAAGTGAGATATCTAAGACAAATATTTGTAACTTATCTAAAAAAAAAATAAAAGAACTTCAATCTGCCAGAATTCTGAAATTTGGCCTTCAATTGTAACTTTATTACAAGGTTGTAATCAGTTTATTACTAAAGTGACCACTTAACATTGGTTGAATAATTAGATTCTCTTTTGTTAAGACATTACACAGTGATTACTGTGTGAAATTAATAAATTTTCCATGTTAAAATCCTCTGAATAATTTGGTTGCATATACTTCAGGATAGGTAGTAATCAAGAATCATGATTTTTCAGCCCTTAAGGCATTCGGATCTGGCTAAAAAGCCCATGAGAGTATTTCAGGCATGGAAAGCCAAGATTCCGTGTGCATTTAGATTTTATTTCTAAAGAAAAAGACTTAAATGAAAGATCTCTGTGAGTGAGATCCTAGTGGAAAGAACGGGCCATCAAAGAAGAAGGTACCTTTCTCTGAAGGGAGGAGAGAACTTCCACTTTGACTATGGCCTTGTCTAAGTAAGATCAGAGTTGGCGAACTCAAGAGGCTTCCATAGCCTTGGCAGCTCATGACAAGAGCCTCGGGTGATTACTGAGGCCATAAATAAGAGTGTCAATTGTTAAATCCACAACAGGAGTCACTGTGCATTTATTCCTCATGTAGGATCTTTGTCCTTAATGCATTGTACTATGTGAATTAACGGTATAACTAATACTCAAAAAGTACTTTACACTTTGTGTTTCAGTGTGGGTGCAAACTGTTGAAATCTTTACTTAGTAGATACTAAATTATTCTTCTGTATATAAAGATAATTGAAAATGAATCTTGATGAAGAATGGGATGGGAGAGGGAATAGGAGATGGGATGGTTTGTGGGTGAGAGGGTAGTTATAGGGGGAAAAAGCTGCTATAATCCAAAAGTTGTAATTTGGAAATTTATATTTATTAAATAAAAGTTTAAAAAAAAATCATGATTTTGCCTCAGGCAATCACTTCCGATAAAAGTTTATTAGGTTCTAAGAAAGTAACAGGAAGAATATCATTGTTTTAATTTGTGGGAGTTTCTACTCATCCTGGGATATTCCCAAGGCTGCATAATAAAAATAATGAAAAGAGTTTTAAAATGGAAAGTAATACTATCTTCTGTTAGAATAGTTACTGAAGAAAATTTTCCCTAAAATTTCACAAAAGACCAATTGTATAAAAATGTTTAATATAGTATTTTCCAGAGACAGTAAATTTGCCTCATGTAAATACATGAAAGGCTTTGATTCTTACAGACCTGAGTAATCTTAATTATGAACTCTTACTAGAAGTTCCTTTTAAATTATATTGTATTTCTTTTTGAAAATGTGATAGTGATACCCAAACTAAGGGTAGAAAACAGGCAAACACAACACTCAGGTAGGTTGGGGACAGTGGTGTGAAAAATAGATAAAGATTAAAATGTTTGGCCTGTTGAGTAGTTTTACACAGTCTGTGTTTTATATTTTCAATCTTCTTAAGTCATCTCAAGATATTTTTCTTACAGATATAACTTTTAGAATGTTGTTGGATTCAGACTTAGAAATTGGTCCCTGCTTCCCTTAGGATATTTTATTTTTGAAACTGGCCTTTTTAAAATAAACTCCAAATAATGTATCCCTCAACCCTTTTTCATATCTTGAATTACTTCACCAAATGAATTATTTTAAATAATTTCTTATTTAAAGAATATAAAAAGCAGTCTAGACACTTATGCATGAGATGGTAGTTGTCTAAAAAGAGTATCATGTATAAATAGCCAAACACAATGCTCTCCTTATAATTACCTCATATTGTATTACATCTTTCAGTTATTGGAAATTTAGTTACAAGCACACATGTTCTAGATATGAAAGATAATGAGGAAAATAAATTTTTTTTCAAACACTCATGAAGAATCTTAATTTTGATAGCCATGGGCAGCATTTGGTGCTTTTACTCTCTGGAAGAAGAAATGTGTGGAAAGTAAGTACTTAAAAAATCTTAAATGCACAAGTACAGTGTGTGTGTGTGTGTGTGTGTGTGTTTAAAATATAAATGTTAATTTTATTTTTGTGTTTCATATATTGTTTCTGTAGCAAGAACTTGCTTTATCCTTCAAAGTGTCCAGAGGTGAGACAAAATGGGAAGGCGAAGCTTATCTTCCTTGGAATTATTTCCCACCAAGTGTGACAAAATTCAATTTATATGCAATTCATGGATCAAAAGAGAAGAGAAGTTATGAAGCTCTTTACCCTGTCCCTCAGCATGAACTACAAGAAGGACAGAAGCCTGATTTGTAAGTAAGAAGTACTGGAAGATGTATCCCAACTATGGAGTTGTTTGGAAGTTAATTCTTGGTAGAGCAGTAGTAACATTTTATGGTCAAAGAGAGCGCTTAGCTGAGTCTTGTGTTCCCTAATGGTCCTCAGTAAATACCTGATGGAGTAACTTTGAACTGACCTCATCTCACCTACTACTGTCAGTAGAACACTTATTTTTCTATAGAGGTGTGAGAAAAAGTCCTGTTTATTGCATGTTGCAACAGGTGATAGGGTAATATAGTTGCAAATTCATTTATTATTGTATTTAGAAATAAATGACCAGGGGCATCAGTTTCCTGGGTGAGTGAAGAATTACTAAACCCTTTCCCCTGCAGTGGGAGAATCTTACCTTCAGTTATCTCTAGTTTTTTTTTTCTCTTAATAACTTCATGGGATAAAAATGTCAGTTATGTTTCTAAGTAATATTGCTGTGATAACAAGTGACCTCTAATTGGTAAATTACATCTAGACAGTAATTTTCAAAAATGTTTCACTTACAACATTGCAGGTTTTTTTTTCTCCACTGCCTTCTCAATTCCTTTTTTTTAAAGGTTTATTTGTTTACTTATTCTAAAGGTAGAGTGACAGACATTAGAAGTATTTGTGTGTGTGTGTGTGTGTGCGCGCGAGCATGTGTTTACATGTGCATATGCATGTTGTGGAGTACTGGGGGGAGATGCAACAAATGGGTGCAACAACCAGGTTTGGGCCAGGCCAAAGCCAGGTGCTCATGACTCCACTTAAGGCTATCAAATGGGTAGCAGGAGTCCAAGTAGTTGGGTCATCGGTTACTGCCTTCCCAGGCACATCAGCAGAAAGCTGAATTGAACAAAGAGGAGCTAGGACTCGAACTTGCACTCTGATTTGGTATGTCAGCAGCACAAGCAGCAGCTCAACCCACTGCACCACAATGCAATCCCCATGGACGAGTAATTTTGAATAAACTATAAATACATGATGAGAAAATTTGGCTTTGAGATTCCCCTTCAACAGTCATGTTCCCCGGAGAGCTATGCCAACAGAGCTATTACAAGAGATACTTCCTCCTATAGGGCAACAGGCATTTGAACCAAGGTTCCCCAATACTTTGCCAATTTGCATCTTGTCTCTTTGTACCTGGAGCTGTTACCTAGGGAGACTATGAAGGCTTCCTGTATTGCTGCAAAGATTGCTCCCTTTGGGATGAAAGCCAGATGCTATTCTGGGGTCAGGCTGTGATCCTGTTCTATTATTTGGTTTTGAGTGTACTTGCTCTGGCCAAGTGAGTCTGGTGAGTCCACGTTTTTAGAAGAGCCTGTTAAAGGCATCCTGGTGAGCACTGCCCTATGGTAGACTGATATCCCAACCTTTTAACCCTTTTAATGTGTTATATACACTGTCCTTTCTCTCCTTCTCTGCCCTTTGCTTCCTATCATACTCTTCACTCTACTTTAACGTCATCTTTTCTAGCATGTTCATTTATTATGCCTGAAACACTTTCCTTATTTCCCTTCATTTTTCTCCGCAGTCCTGACACTTTCATGGCCTCCTTCTCCTTTTTTTTTTCTTGTATCCTTCGCTGTTGTTTCCTTAACCTCCTACTCTGAGGTTCACAATTTGACTCAAACTGGTTCATCCTGGCAGGTGAGCAGAATGCAGTAGGAATCTAGAAGCTGCAACTGACTGCTAGCTCTTATCCCCAAATGGCATGTTGCTCTGGCTCTTCATCAGCCGATATCTTCCTGTGCTCAGGCTCCCCATTTGTGCATTATTGGATGTTTAGTAGTTAAATGTTTTTCTGGATTGATAAGTTACTGTTAGTAACCTCACTTGCTTTTCAAAGAAAAAAAAAACATAAGTAAGTCTGTTCTCTAATATGGAAGCTGAACCTTTTAAAGCAATTGCTTATAGGACTAGTATAAGCTATTTCAAAGTTTGAATATAAAATATGAATAAGAATACAGTATGATTTCTTTTAAACTAGGTGGAATGAGTTAGGTTTTGAGGGTTGATTTTTATTTCTCCCTTCAGCTATGAGGGAGCTATTTGCAGAATTGAAAGGAGAATGCTTTGAAATATGGGTGAATGTTTTCAGAGCTGAGTATTTGATAGCTAGAGTGAAAAAAATTGTACATATGGAAAACATCTTACCTTTGGTATTTCTTGAAATAGAATGTTGTCCTATCACACATATGACAAAATAAAATAGCCCTTCAAGGCAACTATTTCATACATGCATAATTCATTTCAATTTCTACCTTGATTTTCTTTGCTTCTAGCCATCGTCTAGAATACTTTAAGCCTTTAAATTTTAACACACTACTTGGAGAAGAATGGAAACAACCAGAATCAGATCTATGGCTGAAGGAGAAACCTGACATATAAGGAGTAAACTATCATAGAAATCATTTTTCCTCTATACATTTGAAGGTAAACCACTGAAAAGAATCAGTCTTTTTAAGACACAATGAACACAGTTCAACATGATATTTTCATAGAGGTTACTGACAATATCCTCCCTCTGTTATTGACAAGAGAATAATGATTTCATCCATATGGCTCAAATATTTTTAAGAGTCACTTAGCCTAGGAACCATGGTGTCAATAGGTTTTACCTTCTGCTTGTATTTCTGTCACCCAGTAGCTCTCATTCTGTTAACTAAAGTCATTATTTTTCTCCTCACTTCCCTAAACCTCTGCAACATCTTATTTGTACATTTTTGAACTCCATGTCTATATAGTAATTTTAAAACTAGAAATCTTTCCATTCTAGAAATTAGTAGAAAATATCGACCTATTGAAGCTGCCCAGGAAATCAATGTATGCTTAGACATCTTAGACATCATTAAGATACATGAATTATTTCAATAGCTTTGTCTCCCTGTGTAGTGACTATTTTTACTCTGTACAAAGAAATGGAATGAAGTAGTCTTGAATTCAAGCAGTGCTCTGCTTTTATGTGCAAATCAGTGTCATTTTCTTAATGCTGTTACACAGGATTAAAATGTCTTCATTTTACTTTGTAAGCATCAGATAGTCCTGGTCTAGAGTTTTCAGTTTTTGTGTTGTAGCATTTCAGTAGATAGTCTGTGAACTTCTTTACCAAATGTGTTTCTCCAGGATTCTTAACTCAGAGCTTAGGAGTCTTGCAGAAGATGAAGATTTACTAGCTGTAGAAGTGCATTGTGGTCTACCTTACAGTATACTTTTTCTACTTCTTTATCAACGTAAGTTGAAATTTTGGGAGGATTTATTCAGATCTCCATTTTCTGACTTCCTTTGCAGATAGAGTGACTATAAAATGGTTCAGTCCTATAAGCTCTATGTACAGAATTGTATCACATAACAGAGTTTCAGTCAAAAATAGATTACATGTATCTTGATGGTCCTATAATATTATCATGGAGCTGTAAAATTCTATTGTCTAGTGATATTGTGATATTGTAGCTGTCATAATGCTATGTACAATGCATTACATGTCTGTGATGACGCTGGCGTAAATAAGCCTTCTACACTGCCTGTCAAATAAAAGTATAGCACATACTTAGTACATAATACTTGATGATAGTAAACAAGAATTTTATTGGTTTATTTACCTACTCTACTATGCTTTTTATCATTCTTTTAGTGTAAACTTCCTACTTATTAACAGTATTTACTATAGCACTATGCTGTGTTCCACCAACAGTGGTCTCATACTTTTCATGCTCACCACGACTCTTGATTGCATCGAGTCCATGTTGAATGATTGGCCTGTGTCAGATAGGGGTGTGAAAGTACACTGTATGATATTTACACAATGATGACATTGACTAATGATGCATTTCCCAGAATGTATCCTATCCTTAGGGGATATATAACTAAATGTGAGTGCAATATTAGATTTAAGACTTCAAGAAAGAAACTTTTTAAATTTTTTTTTAAATTTTTTTTTTTGACAGGCAGAGTGGACAGTGAGAGAGAGAGACAGAGAGAAAGGTCTTCCTTTGCCGTTGGTTCACCCTCCAATGGCCGCTGCGGCCGGCGTACCGTGCTGATCCGATGGCAGGAGCCAGGTACTTATCCTGGTCTCCCATGGGGTGCAGGGCCCAAGCACCTGGGCCATCCTCCACTGCACTCCCGGGCCACAGCAGAAAGCTGGCCTGGAAGAGGGGCAACCGGAACAGAATCTGGTGCCCCAACCGGGACTAGAACTCAGTGTGCCGGCGCCGCAAGGCAGGATTAGCCTACTGAGCCGCGGCGCCGGCCTCAAGAAAGAAACTTTAAACATGAATGTCTCTGCTGCTATATACCTTTACTCCATTGCCCCTTCTCTTTTTCATAATTAAAAAATTTATTTTTGAGATAGAACACCAGCTGCATTATGATAATGAGGAAATAACCCAGGGATAGCTGAGTAGAAAGACAAAGATGCCCAGTTTCAACTTGCACAATATTCCAGAGTAATATATGTAGACTGCCAAACTACAGACTTAATGTATTAGAAAAACTGCCTAATTTATTTAAGACACTTTTAAAGTACTGAATGTTTCCATTAAATAAAGTCAAATGTAATTCCTAACTGTATTATCTTTTCATCACTGTATTAAGTACTTGAGAGAAACTTCTTATGAAGCAAGAATGTGTATTTTGGCTCATCTTTTGGAGGTTCACAGTCCAAGATTGGGTGATCCTGTTGGTCTGGCATCTAATGAAGGTGGTGAAGAAGGGTCTCATGATGACTCAGGAGGCAAACAAATAGGGTCTATGGTCTTCTTCATGTCTGTAAATCTGTCTTTATAAAGCCACCATAATCTGATCATGGAGGTCCCACCTAAACAGCTTAATCCAATCTAATTACTTCCCCAAGGTCGAACCCTTCAGACAATACAATTGAATTAGGCCTGCACCATTTGTCCATTAGCCATTAACATTAATCCACTAACTATTAACATAAGACATTGGGAACCAAGCACTTAACACAAGGGCCTTTGGGAGATATCCAAGCTATGCAAACTATAGCACTAATACATTATTCTTCCTGTTAGTTGGAAAATAAGAATTGCTCTCCCTCCAGTTAGAAACAAGGCAAGAATATCTGCTCTCACAGCTTCTGTTCAGCATTATATTAGAAGTTCTAGCCAATGCAGTGAAGGAAAATAAAAGACAAATATGAGAAATAATAAAAATATTTTGAAATGTATTATTTACATTTGAAATTATTGTGTTTATGGGAAATGCAAAGGAATACATAACAACTTTATAGATTTAAAAGGCCAATATATTAAAATTTTCAATTATATTTCAGCATATTATAAAAATAATTTGAAACTAAAATTTAAAAATCATTTATATTAACATAAAAACATGAAAGAACCAGGACTGAATTTAACCACAATGTGCAAAATGTCTATATTGATTAGATTAGAATTAATCTTTTTAAAATTCCCACAATTTATTTTTATTTTTATTTTTATTTTATTTAATTAACATAAATTTCCAAACTGCAGCTTATGGATTACAAAAGCTCCCCCCCATAACTTCCTTCCCACCCACAACACTCCCCTCTCCCACTCCCCCTCCCCTTCCATTCACATCAAGATTAATTTTCAATTATCTTTATATACAGAAGATCAATTTAGCATATATTAAGTAAAGATTTCAACAGTTTGCACCCACACAGAAACACAAAATGTAAAATACTATTTGAATACTAGTTATAGCATTAATTAAACACCTAAGAGTAATTGTGTATTAATTACAGAGTTCAACCAATAGTTTTAAGTAGAACATAAAAAATACTAAAAGGGTAAAGTATTAAGTTCTTTTTTTTCTTTTTTTTGTTTGTTATATAGTTAATTTTTTTATTTAATAAATGTGAATTTACAAAGTGCAACTTTTGTATTGTTGTGGCTTCCCCCCCAACCTTCCTCCCTCCCATGGCCCTCCCCTCTCCCACTCCCTCTCCCATCCTGCCCTTCATCGAGTTTCATTTTCAATTACCTTCATATACTGAAGATCAACTTAGTATATACTAAGCAAGGATTTCAACAGGCTGTACTCACACAACTGCACAAGGTATAGGGTATTGTTCGACTAGTAGTGTTGTTTTTAAGTTTCATAGTAAAAACACATTAAGGACAGAGATCCTACATGGGGAGCATGTACCCAGTGACTCCCGTTGTTGATTTAACAATTGGCACTCTTATTTATGATGTCAGCAATCACCTGAGACTCTTGCTATGAGCTGTCTAGGCTATGGAAGCCCCTTGAGTTCACCGACTCTGAACTTGTTTAGTCAAGGCCGTATCACAGTGGAGGTTCCTTCCTCCCTTCAGAGAAAGGCGCCTCTCTCCTTGATGGCCTGTTCCTTCTGCTGGGGTCTTGTTCACCAGGATCTTTCATTTAGATTGTTTTTTGCCACCGTGTCATGGCTTTCCATGCCTGTGAGACTCTCATGGACATTTTAGCCAGGTCCGAATGTCCCAAGGGTTGATTCTGAGGCAAGAGTGCTGCCATTCTATGAGTCTGCTGTGTGTCCTGTTTCCCCCGCAAGATCATTCTCTCCCTTTTAATTCTATCCTTCATTAGTTGCTTACACTGGTCTTATTTGTGAAATCTCATCAACACATACCCTATTGTTTTGATCGGTTGTGTACTTATACTTATCACTTTACCAAGTGCGCTGGCATTGGTACCTGCCTCCTTGGTAAGATTGAATTGAAATCCCCTGGCACATTTCTAGTTCCACCATTGGAGGTAAGTCCGAGAGAGCATGTGCCAACCTATATATCTCCTCCCTCTCTTATTCTCACTCCTATGTTTAACAGAGATCACTTTTCTGTTAATTTTAAACGCCTAAGAATGATTGTGCATTGATTACAGAATTCAACCAGTGGTCTTATGTAGAACAAACAGAGAAATAACAACAACAAAAATACTAAAAGGAATAAAATAGTAAGTTGTTCCTCAACAGTCTAGACAAGGGCTGATCATTTCATTGTCTCTCATAGTGTCTATTTCACTTCAATGGGTATCATTTTAGATGCTCGTTTAGTTGCCATCGATCAGGGAGAACATATGACATTTGTCCCTTTTGGACTGGCTTATTTCACTCAGCATGATGTTTTCTAGCTTCCTCCATTTTGTTGTAAATGCCCGGATTTCATTTTTTTTTTAACTGCTGTATAGTGTTCCATAGAGTACATATCCCATAGTTTCTTTATCCAGTCATCCATTGATGGTCATTTAGGTTGATTCCATGTCTTAGCTATTGTGAATTGAGCTGCAACAAATATTGAGGTGCAAATGGCTCTTTTTTTCTCCCCTTTAATTCCATTTGGGTAAATTCCAAGGAGTGGGATGGCTGGGTCCTGTGGTAGTGCTATATTCAGGTTTCTGAGGACTCTCCAAACTGTCTTCCATAGTGGCTTTACCAGTTTGCATTCCCACCAACAGTAAAATTCCCACAAGTTTATAAATTCAAAGAAATCCTAGTTAAAAAAAAATCTCAGAAATCTTTTGGGTAGAAATTAACAAGCTGAACCAAATTTTATATGGAAATACAAAAGATGTTAAATAGCCAATTTTGAGAGGAATGAAATTTGAGGATTTACACTACCTGACTTCAACTTTTTTTAAAATTAATCTTCAATAATGAAGATAATATTGGTATAAATTAGACAAACATAGCAGTCGACAGAATAGGGAGAGCCACATAAATATGGGCAATCGATTTTTGATAAAGGTACTTGTGCATTATTAGTAGTAAGGGAAAAGATAGTATTTCAACAAATAGTGTTGGAATAACTGGGAAAACATGGGAAAAAGAAAACCTTAACCCATTCTTAATATCCAGGAAAAAATTAACCTAAATGTGATATTGTATGAAAAACAAAGATTCTGGGGGGAAATCTTTACAATCCAGGGAAGAAAAATATTCTTTTGAAATATATAAAAAGGACTAACCAATGGCAAAAATAATAAATTGGACTATTCCAAAATTGAAAATTTCTGTAAAGAAAGTGAAAAGGTGGCTGGCACTGTGACAGTGGGTAAAGTCACTGCCTGCAATGCTGGCATCCCATATGGATGCTGGTTCAAGTCCCAGCTGCTCTATTTCTGATCCAGCTCCCAGCTAATGGCGTAGGAAAAGCAGCAGAAGGTGGCCCACATGCCTGGGCCCCTGAGACCCATATGGGGGACCTGGATGAATGTCCTGACTCCTGACTTTGGCTTGGACCATTGTGGCTATTTGGGAAGTGAACCAGTGAATGGAATGTCTCTTTCTTTCTCTCTCTCTAACTCTGACTTTCAAATAAATAAACAACATTTAAAAAAAATGAAAAAGCAAGCCACTTGTCAGGAGAGAGAATATCCAAAATACTTGTATCTAATGAAGGACTGTTACCCGGAATATATGAAGAACTACAAAACCGCAATAAAAAGACAAGCCAATTAAAAGGGCAAAAGTGTTAGATACTTCACAGAGTAAAATATACAAAAGGTCAATGTGTATATAGAAAGGCTGTCTACCTAACCATCAAGCAAACACTAAACCACTATCACCCAATGATTACAAACAGGAAAAATATACACAATGGCTACTGGGCTAAAGTTTTAATGCATTAATGAACAGGTGTAGTTGCAACTAGAACTCTAATACAGTTGTGAGCTGGAATGTAAAATAGTATAACTACTTTGAAGATCGCTTGGCAGCTTTCAAGTGAAAT